TTTCTCAACCTTGGCCACCTGAAGATGCGCGGACTTCAACTTCCAGAATCCCCCACCCAGCAGAGCTGGCTGGGGGAATTCTGGGAGTTGAAGTCCGCGCATCTTCAGGTGGCCAAGGTTGAGAAACACTGTTTTAATGGCTTTGCGGACAGCAGACACACAGTCCTTGCTCAAGAACTTGTGGCAAAAGACCCAGTCCGTATCCCAACAAGGCTTCCCCTACCCCAAGAGATCCGTATCCCAACAGGTCTTCCCCTACCCCAACATAGATCTGATCTCATACATTCTCTCGAGTAGGCTGGGAGGCGGGACGTGCAATAGGATAAGGATTGGCCTAAGGAGAGTTGGGGAAACGCAACCGTTGACTTCAGTCACCTGAGGAAGGAAACCACCAGAGAGTTCTTGAACTTGGAGTAGGTGCGAGAATTGAAGCGGTTCATCCCACTGAAGCCTTGGCAAGGGGGCCCGCCGCAGAGCATCTCCACATCTCCCTTCTGTGGCAGCTTCTGGCCCAGGGAGTTAACCTTCTCACCGGACATTACGAGCTTAAGCAGGACATTGCAATCCTCAGTGAACACGGTGGTGCTTGGATTGTTCAGGCGGAAGGCCTGCGCAGCTGGTTCCCACATCTCAATGGCCCAGAGCGTGTCCGAGACTCCTGAAGACAACAGGATGATGAAAACAGAACAACAATTCATATTAGATGGTTGGCTTCCAAGCCTCAAAAGTACACAAAAAAACTCTTTCCATCCCATAAAACAGGGCTGGAAACCCCCGTTGGTTCTACTGTAAAAACCATGTGCTCATGCCCCCTTCCCATGCACTCAACCATCCTTCGAAACTGCCTTGCCTGCTTGATGGAACCCTTCTGACAAGCCTCCACAACCAGAGAAGACATCCAGACTTCGAAGTTTGGGGGGCTTCATCGCAGCAGCTTCAGACTCGCTGTATTCAGATGCTCCTGAAGATTTCCCTTTGCTCTTACCTGCACGAGGAGGAAAAAGTATGTCTACATGTGACTTTTGCATTAAGAATTGCCGCCTTGTTTGCAAACTAAGCATGCCAAGATTGTATTTTTTAAAATCTCTTTCAGTGCTACTTAAAACCATTAAACATCTAGTCTATGAAAGCCTAATGGTAAACAAGAAAGTAATTATTAGAATATTAGCAATCTGCTGTGGCCCAGCAGGAGCCGTTGGAGCTGCCACCAGACTCCGACAGCGAGGGGCCCTATGAGTCGGCTCTGGAGGATGTGAAGGACCCTGGACAGGAATCGAACTCCGAGCAGGGCGCAGAGAGGCTGGTTGGCCATCAGGAGGCGCCTGAGCCTTGGACCAGTGGGGAGGAGACAAGGGAGTGTGAGCCTGAGGTCAGTTGTTCCTGGATGCCCAGCAACGAAGAGCTAATAGGCGTCAGGAGCAGTTGCGCAGTTACAGGAGATAATTGCACTCAGCTGGTGGTAATTAGGCTCCACTCCAGACTATAAAAGGACTGCTTGTGCACACGCTCCTTTTGCA